GATTGACAGCCTTGGAGACCCTGGGGGCAGTTCCACTCTGTCCTCTAGGGGCGCTGTGGGTCAGAATGGACTCCTCGCAGTGGGAGTGGTTTGGGCTTTGCTTCCATGTGATTGACAGCCTTGGAGACCCTGGGGGCAGTTCCACTCTGTCTGGCAGCCAATGAGAATCCAAGTGGCCAGTAGTGGATGGTTTCTATTATCATTCTCTCAAAGGAAAGCCAGCACACCGTCAGCAGCACCTGCCCATCTTTGTGAGCCCTGGAGGGTTCCCGTGCGTGGGACAGGGCGAGCTGTCCTTTGGTGCGGGTATCTTCCACTGCGTCCTCGGCTGGTGCTCGGTGCCCAGGCCCGAGTGGCTCCTCCCCGGTGTGCTGGTCCCCTTACTGCTGAGGTCTGCGGGGTGTGCTGCGTGCCCACTGCCCTGTCTCAGGCCCACAGGGCAGCACGCCTGGGGCGCCCTTGAGACCGCCCGACACACCGGCACTGTGTGGGTCCCCACCAAGACCCATGTTCTCGAATTCCTGGCCCCTGACCACAGCTCACGCCCAAACTTCACATGGTGACCAGCGAAGCCACAAATGCCATACCCACTGCGACTGAGCTGATTCTGACGCCGGGTGACCCCACGTGGCAGAGAGGAAACCTCTCGTTACACAGGGTTTTCTTGGCTGTCGTGTTCATAGGCACAGATGGCCAGTGGATGGGTCTGAACCTCCAACTTTGAGGTTCAATATTGTTAGCGTGTGCCCTCGAGTTCAACTCATAGTGACCCCATGCGACAAATGCCAAACTGCCCTGAAGGTCTCCCAGGCTGTCACCTTTACGGGAGCAGAACGCCAGCTCTGTCTTCCGCAGACCCACTGGATGGGTTTGAACTACTAACCTGCTGGTGAGTAGGGGTGTTAACCATTGTACCACCAGGCTCTTGAACCTTTAAGTTACACCACGGCCATTGAGTTGATTCTGGCTGACAGCGGCCCCCACTGGGTTTCCAAGGCTGGACACCTTAGATGGCCCCACCTTCCCTGCGCAGAGTGGCTGGTGGGTTTGAACCGCCAACCTCCAAGCTAGAGATCTGTTTCAAGGAGGCGTGCACAGGACCTGCCCCGTCCTGGAGCCGGCCCGGGAAAAGCATTTCCTTCCTCTGTGTTTGACGCCCTGAGCCCCTGGAAACCATGAGTGAACACTGGGCCTCAGCGCAGAGAGCTCATCCAGGTGGGATCGGCGGGGGTCGCTCTGTGTCCGACGCCCTTCACTCAGCACAAACATTTACAGCTCGGCCAGGCTGTGGTGTGGCAGGACCTCGTTTCTCTTTACGGCTGAGTACCCCGTGTGGACAGACCCCATCGTGTTTATCCACCATGTCGCTGGACACAGGTTATGTCTTCTTTATGGCCAGGTAACCCTCCACTGTGTTGACGGGCCCCACTGTGTTTACCCACCGTGTTGGTGGACACAGCGTTTTTATGGCTAGGTAACACTCCACTGTGTGGACAGACCCCATCGTGTTTATCCACCATGTCGCTGGACACAGGTTATGTCTTCTTTATGGCCAGGTAACCCTCCACTGTGTTGACGGGCCCCACTGTGTTTACCCACCGTGTTGGTGGACACAGTGTTTTTATGGCTAGGTAACACTCCACTGTGTGGACAGACCCCATCGTGTTTACCCACCATGTCGGTGGACATAGGTTATCTCGTTTTTATGGCTAGGTAACACTTCACCGTATGGATGGGCCCCACTGTTTACCCATCATGTGCTGACGGACACGTGGGTTGGTCCTTTTTTACGGCTGAGTAATATTCCACTGTGTAGATGGACCCCATTGTGTTTATGCATCATCTGTTGATGGGCACTTGGTTCCACCTTTTGGCTTTTGTGTCTGGGTTCCTGCTGTCAGCTATCTCGGGCATGTCCCCAGGAGTGGAATCCCTGGACTGTGTGACAACTCTTGGTTGAATCTTCTGAGGAAGGACCACACGGCCCTCCCAGCAGCTGCCCCCCGGGACGTCCCATGCACAGCAAACGAGGGTCCCACTTTCTCCACATCGTTACCTGTTTTAAAAACGGGTTTGAAAGGCTGCTTTTCTGAGTTGACTAACAACCTTATGTTCTCGGTTAATAAACTCACTGCCTCTTGGCCCTGGGCCTGTGTTCTCCAGGGTCCGTGGGAGATGGCCCTTGGTGGCCGCACACAGCCATCCGTCCATCGGGGCTACCCACGTTGCAGCCCGTTCAGCGGGACGGTGCAGCCACTTACGGATGGGGCTGCCCCAACACGGGCCTGCGAACCCTAACCCTCCACCTGCAACATCACCCCACGTGGGGAAGGGTTTTCTTTGTGATGTTAATGAGGCGATCTCCTCGCTGAAGGGTGTTTTAAGGCGATCTCCCTTGAAATTAAAAAAAAAAAAAAAAAAGATTAGAAGCAGGTCCCAGCAGGTTTGGCGGAGCTCAGCCGGGAGCCCAGGAACAGAGGGGACGGAGGCCGAGCGCCCCGCAGAGCCCAGAGAGCGGCCCGGCCCGGAGCACCCAGGATGCGGACCTCGCGCCTCCACGGCCGGGCGGGAACCACCGTGTCAATGCCGCCCCCTGGTGGTATCCCCGTAACCGCGGCGCTGC